AAAAAAAAAAAAAAAAAAAAAAAAAAAAAAAAAGCTAATAATTAACATGTACATACATTCTTATCTGGTCTGTCCTGAAGTGTCCTGGTTTCTTTACAAAATACAGTCTCACATTGCAACAATTGTACTCCTACGACTCATTTCATCAGAAAGTCTTTGGCCACTTTTCAAAGAACAGAAACAGTAACTTAGATTTAAGGCACTCCTTTGTGTAGGAGCCTCCTGCAGAGCCCCTCACGGTGGGCTGGGATCCTCTGCAGACAGGTCTTCCTAGTTCCAGCTCCTAGCTCAGGGCGTGGCACTTGCGAAGGGCTCATAAATGCTCACAGAAAGAACTAATGAATTAATCTGTTCTTTTATTGCATTCCCCAATCTAATGTATTGTTACCGTTGTGTTTCATTTCATTCGCTGGGTATTTTAATATTTCACTGCAGTACCTGCCAGGGTTTGGATGCCTGTCACTAACCTGTGCAGCATGCAGGTTGGTAGTTAAGTGCTGTCCCTGAAGTTAGCATTATCACCTGGGTCCCTACAATTTGTGCTCTTTACTAGCAATTTGACAAAGTTGAATCATATTTCTGTTGAGGACATTGCAGCATTCATTGATGTATAATGCTCATACTTGTGTGAAAAGCTATCTATTGTTTTCATGAAATGGTATTTTCATATTATTTTATTTACTTGCTTCATAGCTATCAAAAACTATCTATATGAAGCATACTATTTAAAGTCATTTCTTAAGTTGGAGCATCTTTCAAGCCTCGTGAATATGTATTGATTATCAATTTAAATTCTGGGGATTACATGTAATATACTTTTAGGTATTCTAACACATATTGAATGGGGTGTAATTAACTTAAGCATGAAAGAACATGCAGTTACATGACCTTTTACTTTAAAAAACAGGCACTAATTATAAGTGGATAGCAGGAAGAAATTAAATACACTGGGAGCAAGACTAGGTTATATGATTATTTTTAACAAGTTAATTAGAATGTTGTACTTTGTTGTAGAAGAACAACTTGGGAAAACTACAAAAGGTATGATTCAAACACAGCCCCCTTTTCAAAGAAGACGACCCACTCGCCCTGTGGAAATTGGAGCTCCGTTCTATCAAGACAACCAACTGCAAGTCAAAATCTACTGGAAAAAGACCGAAGGTACGTTAACAATTTTTATTTATTTACTTGCTTTAAATAGCACAGTGATATAAAGATATTTTTGAAAAAGTAAATGTTAAGCCACAGTATTAAAACTAAGGCAAACAGTCTCTGAGCAAAACACTTAAGTACTTTTCATTTTTAAAAAATGCCTTTCTGTGTCAAAGTCTGAATGGTCGACTTTGATTCCCAGGAATCTATATCGTATTCTGAAATTGCTTAATTTTTTTCATTTCAGGGATATTGGTGTATCTTAATTTTTTTCCCGGAGGGCTGATCTCATGTACAAAACACTCAAAATATTCATAATTTGGGGCTGTAATTTCAGTTTTAAATTATTTTCATTAAAAAAGACCCATAAAAACAGGGGGCGAGGGAAGAAGATATAACAACTACAATTACTTGAAGTTGATCCGACAAGCAAACAGAAAGGACATTGTTGGGTGGGAGGGAGGAGAGGGAGGAGGGAGGGAGGTTTCGGTAATGGGCCACAATAATCAACCACATTGTATATCGACAAAATAAAAATTTAAAAAATAAATAAATTTTTAAAAGACCCATGATTCAGATAATTTGAAAAATAGGAAAAACGTTCTCAGTTATCCGAGTATCACTTCCTGAAAACAGTGTTTTGGTGGGTTTCTTTTTAGGGTTTTCCCATGAACCTGTTTTTCACTCAGTTGTTATATATATATATGTGTGTGTGAGTGTGTACATAACATACACACATATTTCCATACATTATACAAGCATATTATATTGTCAAGCATTTTTCGTAACATTTTTAAGTTGCTGCTTTGTATGGCTATACTGTAATGCTATGATACATGTCATTATTCCAGTATGGTAAGACATTTAGATTCCTTTAGAATTTCCATTTTATAATTAATGCAGCAATGAACATTTATCCTTAGAATAGAGGCTTTTTGTTTGAACATTTATCATTAGGATAAATTCCTTTCATTTATTTATTTTCCTTACTTAAAATATTTATTTTGCATTATTGAAATAGTTCTTTTAGAATTTATTTGATGTACATTTTATCTATCACTCCTATACGTTTTTAAAACATAAGCAAAAGAGATTATTACGAGAGTTCAGTTTTATTTTCCTTATTTTTCTGAAGTTCCATTTTATTCAAGATATTGTTAGTCTATGTGCCATAAGGAATATGGTGTTAGAGCATTTCTTATTCCATAATTTCCTTTCAAGCTGCTGAAATCCATTCTGTAGCTAAAATAACATTACCATTAATATTAATATATTTTATTTCTATTATATATTAGTTAAAATTAATGTTCACTTATTCAATATTTATTAAATTAAAATTATGTTAATAATATATGTCCATATTTAAAATAAATCATAATTTTATAATAGTTATTGAATTATAACATTTATTTCTCCATTTAAAATTAAAATCATACATCAATATATTAATATTAACAATATAACATTATATTTTATTAATAATATTGAAAATGTAAACATTTCAATCATATAAGAGTGACCACCATCATCCTGACTTCTAAAACTGAACGTTTGTTTTATCTGTGTTTGAAATTTGCCCAGATGGAATCACACAGTTTGTATGTGCATTTGGCTTCTTGCAGTGAGCATTTTCTATGAGAAACTTAACGATTCTGTTGCATGAAGCAATAACTCACTCATTTATATTGCTGCTAGTAGTCTCTTGAGTATCTCAATCTGTGTATCTTTTCAGCCATCGGTGGAGATTTACTTTGTTCTAGTATTTGGGCTGTTAAGAATAGCACTGCTACAAACACCCTATGAACACATGTTTCTGGATGCACATATATATACATATTCTTTCATAGAGGTGGAATTCTTAGGTCACAGAGCATGTTGGGCGTTAGTGAACACTAATAATTTTGCAAAGCAGTTACGCCAGTGCACGTTCTCACCAGTTGAGTACAACAGGTTCACTCTCTCTGCCATGTGGCGTTTTCCATCTTTTTAAGTTCAGCCATTATGGTACGTTGTTGTGTGAGTTCGCATTTTTCTGATCCCCCAGGAGACGAGCACCATTTCATACATTTATTGGCTCGTGGATCTCCTCTTTTTGAAGTACTTTTTCACCTCGTTAGCCAGTCTGTCCTGCAAGTGTTCTTTATATATTCAGGATAGGAGTCATTTTTGGTTTCACGTATTGTATGTAGTTTCTCCTGCTCTGACCGACTCTTGCATTTTTAACTTTCTTAATAGTTCTTAATTTTAGAGACACTCTATTTATCACTTTGTTTCCTTTAAGTTTTGTGCTCTCTGTGTCCTGTTTAAGAAATCTTTGCTTATATAAAGGCCACAAAGACACTTTCCTTTCTGGTCTTCTTGGAGTTGTATTGTTTCACCTTTTATGACTACGCTGACTTTTACACAGAATGGATTTTTGTTACTGAGTGTCGATGTTCTTTTATTTTTTCCCCTGGATCTCCACCTGGAGTAGCATTATTTATTTAAAAGTGAATCTTTCCCCAACGCTCTAACATGCCACATTTGTCAATACTTATTAGTCAATATCAGGGTACAGAGCATTATCCAATTTACTTTCCCATGTATGAAATTATGGACTTGACCATAAAGAGACCAGAGCCAAAAGGCAGAGAAGTGACCTTAAATTTGGCTATAAAATTGAGGCTGACTTAACTCAGGTTTAGTGACTTGGACCCCAGACCACCAAGGAGCAGCTGGGAGTGATAACTCATGTAACAGAGGCCAGCTAACATCTTTTTGTCAGTAATAGCTTGCTTAACTAATCCAAATGCCTCGTGGTCAGCCAGTAGCCAAACTGTTTTAATCGTACCCATTTCCAGTGTCTGAGCTACTTTAACCTCCAGGAATGTTTCCTAATGTAGACCAACATTAAATCATCACCAAATAAGCACACATCCTCACTGGCCTGAGAACATTCTTTGTGGTTAGCCAAAACCTTGATTCCAAAGATATAACTGACATGAAATAGGTCTTATAAGAGAATATTCTGTGCAGCGGTGGTCAGTGGTTGACCGCTGAAGCCTCCAGTCAAAACCATTGTGATTATAGTGTTGCTGCCTATTCAAGGGGCACAGATTCCATATACATCTTTATGGATATGTTGGGAATTTTTTTTTTGTAGACTTTTGTAGATCATGAGTCTGCCCTTTGCTGGTTCAGTTCTGCCCTCTCTAAATACTTGTGCTAGACATTTTTTATTTTTGAGCTGAGAGGAAGCACTCGAAAGGCTCTGTGTAGATTCCTTTGTAAAGGATAGCAAAAGTGTGGAATCTGGAATTTTGCTTTTACATTGTTTACAATCCTGAAGTTTGGATTGTAAAAAGAACATCATGTAAAAATATCTAGATAGAATCCTCATGACTTCACTGAGTATTCTAGCCCTTTACCAAAATAATATAGCACAGAAACACATAGAGTTTAATTTTGCTACATGAATCTTGCTTCTGAAAGCTAGTGGCAGAAGCTGTTGGTTTTTAATTAAGGTGAAAAATGAAATAGAGAAAGAAAGAAAAGAAAGGTCTAATTTTTTCTTTTATGTTAATCCTTTAGATAGATAATAAACTTTACAAGCATTAATAATCATCTTTAGGAGAGCATTTTAATATCTCCAGAAATGATATGTTCAACTTTTATTTGAAAATGTAAAGTTTAAAAAATTAGAGTTAACTTAGATATCAATTAATGCATTTTTTTCCTGTTTATTTTGTAAATGCACACATACTTTATGCCAGGCACTGTGCCAAATGATGGGGATAAAACAATGGATCAGGTAAACTTTCTATTTCTTAAGGAACCTGAATTTCTGAGGGTTAGACACATAGGTGGTTGCCATGTAATAAGATATGTTCTTCATAGCTGTATGGATAAAGAGCTGTAGTAGGAGAGAACAGAGAGCCCTTGATTTTGTGTGCAGAGAACTGTTCACAGAGGAGGTGAAGTTAACACTGAATTTCAAAGGCCGGATTACTGATTTGTCCGGGGAAGATGAGCATTTCTGGCCCAGGGAATGAGCAGAGGTACTGATGAAAGAAAGGTTAGGAACGTCTGTGTCAGTGAGGTTGAGAAAGTGACCGATGGGGCTGGCGAGAGATCGGTGCCGGATGATGAACAGCAGCACAGGCTATGCCAAGGAGCTTGGATTTTGTTCTGCACAGTAGCAGAGGGACGCGAAATTGCTGGGGAAGGGTCCGGGTAGGAGTTGGAGATGTTAGCAAAAGTAGGTGTGCAAGGAGAAAGGATTAGAAAAGTTAAGAGAGATCATGGGGTTTTGTTAGGTGCTTAATTTCAGTAGCCCAGACAAGAAAAAATCAGAGCATGAAATAAAGGCATTAGTGGTGGGTAGAAGGTGAAAAGGGGTTCATTAAGAGATAGTAAGAGTGGCCACGTAATTTGTTGTCTGCACTGGGATTCTTTTGAAAGTGAAAGGAGGTATTCTTGAACATTATTCCCCAACAGCAGATATATATTATGACTCTCCCAGGAAAATCAGGATATACTTAGAAGGGAAGAAGGAAAATGAATCTTAGATGGAGCTTCTACCACTGAGCTACTTAAGAGTAACCTTGACCGACAAAGATTGTGAACAGTAGAAGTGCAATGTGTTTCCTGCAGAAGATGGAGAATTTGGCTTTGCTATGTTGAATTTGAGATAGCTGCATGATATTTAGAAAATGCCTTGTAGGCAGTCGAAAACATATGCCTAGAGTTCAGGAGGCAGCTATGTTTTAGAAATGTGGATTTGCACTGGGGCTGTAGTGTAGTCCACATACGCTACTGTCACAGGATC